TTTTTTTTTTTTTTTTTTTTTTTTTTTTTTTTTTTTTTTTTTACTATCTTGGTACAAATTCTAGCCCTCTACCAAATAAAATGTAAAATTTCTTTGTTCTTTGCTTTTCTCTGTTTCAGAGATAATGATGATAACTGCTTATTTGATGGTAATGAGGAATAAGTAGGGAAATGCATCCAGTGTTTTTCTGCGAGAAAATATATTTAATAAGTGTTTTTACTGTATTTTAAAACTTCAAAATATTTTGTAATGAAGCTCATTTCACTGATATTAATAATTCCACAAAGCAAATATATAATTTAGAGCTTATTATGTACATTAATATTATCATGAGCCTGCTGCCTCCCTTTCCTCCCTTCTTCCTGCTCAGACCAAGGAGGACAGTAGACAAATTTGATACTGGCTAGCACACTGAGCCCACATGTAACCAGATGGGAAAATTATGCCTCTAAAATAGATAATTCCATACCACTCTGGTCACAAGAACCTGCCCTGGATAAGTGCAGAAATTGGGATGAAGACCGAGTCGAACAGGTTCTAGGACTTGTTTTCCATTCATCTCTGTTGTGTCTTGGGCAGGCCTCTTCTTGCCACTCAAGTGGAGAAAGAGAGGAGCTTCTCTAAGAAGCTTCTCCATCTCCTCTTTTCTTGGGTGAAGGAGGATTCCGGAATATATGGCGTCCTATCAGCAAAGATGATCATAGGAAAATGTGCTTTAAAAGATACTTGGTTACTTTCTTATGGCTGGAACAGAATATCCAACAGCCACAAGTTAAAGAAGGAAAGACTTATGTTAGCTCACACCGTGTAGAGGTTTCAGTCATCGTCAGCTTGCTCTAAGGCAGGGTACAATGGCATAAGGGCATGGCAGAGGAGAAGTAGACCATGGCAGGGTAGGCAGCAGGCAGAGGTCTTCCTTCTTCTTTCCCTTTTTATTGCATCCAGGCTACGAGCCTATTGGTTGGTGCCACTCATCCCCAGGGTGAGTCTTCCCTCTTCAGGAAGTCTAATATCCATAACTGTGCTAAATAAATCAGTAGACAAATCCAGTAACACACACCCATGATCTAAAGCCCCGTCTATAAATGCATCAAGTTTGGGAGGGAGATCTAAAATAACCCTTAACAATAGCTTTGCATCCAAGACTCTTTCATATATTTCAGCTTATTTTATTATTGTTTTCCTTTCCTGAATTAGGGAGGAAAGGTAGGAGAGGACAAGTTGAGTGACTAAATTTAGCCGTAGCTCACTGTTTGATTACATCAGTGTAATTCATTTTCCTAAATACCTCTTTCACGGACAGAGAAGTAGAGCCAGAGTATTTGTTTGAATCCAAAGATTACTTTTATACAAGAAGAATGCACAGAAAATTGGAATTTCTACAAGAACAAAGTTCCCATGAATTCATTGAGTAAATTGGAAGTCTTTCACTAGTATAAAGTTTTGGAACTCTTAACGTATAACATTTAATGAGAATTTGTAGCTAAACAAGAAAGAAAAAGCACAAATAGGGGGAAAGTGAAAGAAAGATGCTTTGAATAAATAGTCAAGGGAACTTTTGAAAGGCCTAGATGATTCATTATTAAGTACTGGGAAAGATCATGAAGCTCACAGCACTGTTTATCTGGGTGATCTCTTTCTTAAAGGAATCTGAGGTTTAAAACAGAAGCAATATTTAAACTCACCTTGTAGAAAGATGAGATCAGAGTTGGCAGAAAATGAAAAAAGAGATAATTACAGGGCAAATGTTATAAAAGTAAATTGCAAAAGGCTACGTACTAAATCTCAAGTATCTGTGAGACAAAGAATGTCATTGTCTCTCTTTTTACTTTCTCTGATGCATCATGATTTGAGATCTTATACATATGTTGCTGAAGTGAGCACTGACTTGGGGTCTTGTCAACAAACATTTAATATGAATTTCATCTGTGGGAAAAAAAGTTGGAAGAGGGTTATCCAATAAAAACTAGAGGGATGTACAGCCATTTATTGGTGTTGCTTACCATATTTTGAATAATCTTTTAATACAGGTGAAATAAAGTTGAATCCACCAAGACCTGAAAACAATAAGACTCAAAGCAAACAAGTCTGTTTCAGCAGAATGTCTTTAGGAGGTTCATTTGTGGTCTCTGATGTCCCAAATGCTCCCATCCCCGACCTCTTTCCACCTTGTCAAATCACCGACCTGAGGGCAAAGATCCATGGGTACAGTCTCATCAATCTGACCTGGACAGCTCCTGGTGATGACTATGATCATGGACAAGGTAAGCGGAGCACAGTGTGGACTCTGCCAAGCAGAGGTGAGGAAGGAAGGTGTGTGGGATGCAGGATGGGGCAGAGGGCACGGGATTCTTTGATATTCTCTGGAATAAAAGGTAAAGGGTTTTAAAGCAGAAGTTTTGAATCTGAAAAGCTGGCCTCCTTGAGGAACACAATTTAAAAGAGAAGAGGTTTATTTTGGCTCACGGTTTCAAAAGTTTCCATAGGTCCCAGGCAGAATCCACATGGTGGAAGGGTCAGCTATAGAGGAAGGCTATTCATGTCTGGGTGGCCAAGAAGCACAGGGAGAAGAGAAGATCCAGGGAGAGAGACACAGCCCTCCGGGTCAGGCCACCGGCGATCCGCCTCTTCCCAGGAAGTCACACCTGCCAACAGCACATACAGCTCTATTCCGAACAGTACCCCCACAATCCAGTCACCCTCCAAACACATGAGGATTTGGGGCCCGTTTTAGATCTAAGCCACAATGGGGGGAGTAAGGGTTTTCATCCAGGAAAGGCAAACCTTGGATTTTTTTCGCAAAGTATTCCCTTGTCAAACTATCTTAGGAAACTTCATTTTTCGGTAGTGATTTCTGGAGGACTAGGAACACAGTATAAGCATCTATCAAGCAGAAATGTCCTTTGGGAGAAGTCTCAGGTCCTACCAGACTTTGCCTCTCAAAATGTGATCTATGTTCAGCAGTGTAGGCATCACAGATATAACGAACTAGAGCCTGCATTTTAAGTCTTGGGGTGATTCATGTGCACATTAACATTTGAAAAGCATTGGTATCAAAATCTCCTCTATAAATCATAAAACAATAAGCAGTAATTAAACCGCCTCCTCTCAGCCAGAAATATTGAGGAAAGTTTTAAGGCATAACTAATACAATTTTATATTTATTAGTTTTTCAGGACATACATACAAGAATATAGAAGAAATATTAAGCACTGGCAATATGAACCATTGATTCCACATATCCATAGGCACTTTATGGGATGGTGATATAATTTCTAATAGGCCGTTAATGATTAGGATATGAGAATTACAGGTCACATTTTTCCCTTTTTCTTTTTAGCTTCCAAGTACATCATCCGAATAAGTACAAGTATTCTTGATCTCAGAGACAAGTTCAATGATGCAGTTCAAGTGAACACGACTGATCTCATCCCAAAGGAGGCCAACGCTGAGGAAATCTTTGTGTTTAAACCAGAAAACGTCACTTTTGAAAATGGCACAGATCTTTTCATTGCTATTCAAGCAGTTGATAAGGTCAATCTGGTATCAGAAATATCCAACATTGCCCGAGTGTCCTTGTTTATTCCTTCTGCTCCAGAGACACCTAGTCCTGATGACACTTCTGCCCCTTGTCCTAATATTAGTATCAACAGCACCATTCCTGGAATTCACATTTTAAAAATTATGTGGAAGTGGATAGGCGAATTGCAACTGACCCTGGCCTAACACTAAGTTTTCATGCAACGAGTAAAATAAATCACCTATGCAATTGATTATAACATTTTCTAAAATATATTTTAGGCTTCCTGCAGGGGGCGACATAATAAAATGCTGACCTTCTAGGAGTATATATGTATTCTCTCCATTGGAATAATCCAAAAATTTAATCATTGCTCAGTCTTTTAATAATGGTTTTGAATTCTAGATAAAAGAAGTGCTTGTATCAATACAGAAGAGTATGTTTTAATTTGTTCTTAAGAAGCTTTTCCTGTTAAAAAAGACGCGTAATTGCTGTTAATCTAATGAGTAGCTAAAGGATTTTGTTTTCTTTTGAAGGATGCCAGAAATGTCCAAGGTAAATTATCTAAATGCAAAAGGCATCATTTATAATATATGGGATTTGGAATGTGTTTTCATGTTTCTAGATTTGAGCAAGGATAATGCATTTAAGGAAGTTCTGAAAGAAATTACAATATGAAGTTTCCACAGACACAAACATGTGTGTTAGGTGTGTGAAATTGCAAATCAGCAATGCTTAAAGACACAGCGGCAAGAAATGAGTTGGGAAAGGTCCCCTCAGGCCAACGTGAAAGGGAAAGTGATTGAGAAATAAATATTTATGTGTGTCTTGTACCCAGTGCTCTATTAACAGCTATATGTACGTTAGCTTTATTTAATGTAACTCAACCCATTTAAATGTTCAGCAGCTGCCAACTGTATTCTAGGCCTAGTGAGGCCCTCACAATATAAAAATAAGTCAGAGTTGACCTTTATCCTGAAAGCAATGAAGAACTTTTGAAAAATCAAGAGGCAGATGTGATCAGAACTGTGGTTAGAAGGGGCACTTTGAGGACCCCATGAGTGGCTGTAAAAGGTGGGAGAAACTAGAGGTGTGACCGATGGAACAGGCAGGCAAATACAGGATGAGCAGTGTGGCAGTCCCCAGGGCCCCCAAGGGCTGATATTCTTGTGAAAATGTTTCAGGTTCTCAGGAGTTTTCAGTCTATTAGCATAATGAGTTCAAGACCCAGCTCTCTATATGATTGAAAACAAAATATTTAGGATATTGTTGCTACATAGAGCCAAGATTTATTCATTTATTTACAGAAATTCCTTATTTGAAAACAGGATTCGAGGCACCTTAGAGATGCACACAATAAACAAAATTTTAAAAAAACATAAAAAGGGAGAGAAGTAAAATATTTAATAAAAACTACAGGCCAGGTGTTGAATGTATAACTTATAATTCCAGCATTTTGAAGGCTGAGGCAGGAAGATCACAAGTTGGAGAATAGCCTGGTAATTTAGTGTGTTCAAGGCCAGCCTGGACTACATAGCGAGGCAGGGTCTCAAAAAACAGAAACACAACTGGATCAATGCATCTAATGCACAATATAATGTTCTACACATGGAAATGATGCTTCCACTTTCATGATGTCTGGCCATAAGCAAAAAGGGAAAACCAAGAGATAGAAAAGAGGCAGAATGACCCATCCATTTCACCAAATATTATTGCATCTTGGCGTTAATCATTTGGGGCAGATACACCGTTAAACAGACTCTGAAATGACAGCGGGGTTCTAATTTTTTCATTTTTCTGGGGATAATATGGTGATCTCAACACCAGCAAAAGGACACTGAGAGAAGAAGGTAGGCAGAGAAAGAAAGGTGGAGAGAGAGAAAGAGAATAATTATAATTAAATTATAATTTAAAAAACCATCAGGTATACTGCCTCACGGGATTTCACTAGTCTCCAAATAATTCAGTTGTATGTGGTTTGAAAATTTGAAATATAAATCTTTCCAAAGAACTTTTTGGAGCATATTTGTTAGAATGAGTCATTGAAAAAAAAGAAAGAAAAGACAAAACAACAAAACAGTTCAAAGAGACTCACAGCAAAATTTCATATGTTTTAGACAGAACAATTCTGGTAAGATCGAAATAATGAGGACGGGATAGTCTCTAACTAGAAAGGCTAAGCAATGCAGCTTGTATAATTGAGTCAAATGAATTTAGCCCAGTTCCTAGAAGTCAGCTGCCCAAAGAGAAACATAATAAATGGCTCTTCTTTTTAAACTGCCCTTGGAGATAAATCTTTTCTTAAACTTCAAAGGGGATTCCAAACTCATGAGGGAAGGAGGAAGAGAAAATGTGATAAGCCGTAGAAAGGATAACGCAATTCGAGCTCCAGAGAGCACACTAAGTTCACTGCACAGGGTCCAGTCAGGCACAAAATGAAGTTAATCCTCCTGGGAGGGCAGGAGTTGGGTAGAGCATGAGGGTGGGATCCAGGCAATGGATGCGTTTAGAGCAAGGCCTTCACGATCTAAGGGTTAAAAAGCAGAAGAAGACCACTACCATTATCACCCCACTGGTCAGGCGGTGGGGCAGGGACCAGGCGAGCAGGGTTTTGAGATCTGGCCAAGAAGAGAACCGTGTGACATTCATTATTTTACCTGATGGTGATGGGCACCATTACTGGACTTCTACTAAGTGCCAGGCCCTCAGTGCTGCACATACTCACACCCCACCCCTCTTCCAATATTTGAGGCTTCTCAGGCAAGAGTACACAAGAAGATCTAGATACAGTGTGGCTATATATGCAATAATTATAAATTAAGGTGACAGGCTCATAATACTGACAAATATACCTTCATACTGACCCGGAAAGGCGGGTTCACATTTAAAATTCTTAGAAACCTCTCAGTGTCATACTGGAACATGGCAGCTCTAGAGATGAACACGAGGTGCCCTCTTTTCTTCCTGCCCAACTCCACCCAAGGGCCCCATGTCCATGAGTGTGGCTCCTTCAGTTCACACACCATGTCGACAGCTGCCCTTTGGCCATCTTTCCATCAAAGGTTTCCAACCTTTGATCCTCTCTTCCCTTGACAGACCTGATCCTATGCAGACCACAGAATGAGGGTCGGTTACCTGTGAGGGAACCTTAGTTCATGCATGTGAAGTACGTCCTATAAGGGAGGCGGTCACCCAAAGGATGGACACAATCCTGTGGCCCTGTGGATTCATCACTCCATCAAAGGAGGACATAACTCGGGGTGTCTTATGCGAAATGAAACCGCAAAACCTCTTGATCAAGTGGTAGGATAAGTGTAATGTGAAAGCTAATATGATATAGAATTTTTTTATTTCTTCCACAATGCTTTTCCTGTTGTACTTTTTGTTAGCTATTTAATACTGTTCTAAGTGAAGAAGTGTTAGAATTTTAAAGAATCATACGAATGCCATCATTCATTTTTATACTACGCAATGACAATTTTAAATTCAGATATAACTTCATCTGTATGGTGAGTACACGTACGATATGTATTTTGTATGTGGTACATACCTGTGTGTTTTGCTTTGCCAGAACAATGAAAGCACAGCATAGGGCATTCTACCAATTCCCTCTGCTTGTGGCTTACTGATGAGTTAGGAAGGGCTGACCATAAAGGGAACCATGTTTTCCTATCTTTCTCATTCCTTCTATGTCTTTTCATAGATATTTGGCTGATACAGAGGAGTAACACAAATAAGAAGAGAGCATTCTTTGTCCTTTATCGTTCTTAGAATGTCTCTGTATTCTTTCTATATTTGAAGAAAGTTCTTGTTTGAACTGAAAGCGCAGTGTCTCTGGTTGTCAGGGAGCCTGGTTTTCCATTGAGAATACAGTGTGTTCGCCTTGCACTGTTCGAGTCTTGGAGCTCCCGCACGCACACTGTGGGTTCACCTGAATTCTGGGCACAAACTACATCTCAAACTTGTTTGCAAATGGCACAGTACAGAACACCGAACACACAAGTGCACTCTCCTCCACTTTCATCCTTCATGGTCCCATAGCACTTCCCTTATAGAACAAAAATTCAACAATAAAGTTATTAAGAATTTCAAGACAACCACAGCAGAGCATTAAAACAAGCACAGGACCATTCTTCATAGAGGGCCAGGTGTGATGGCCCGGGTCTGTTGTCCACAAAGCCAGCCCTGGAGGATTCACAGCCAGGGACCTCTAAAAGGAAGCTAACAAAAAGCTGCAGAGTCAGGCAACTATGGCTTAGAGCCGAATAATCTGCCTGCAATCTCATCTGGTATATGATGGAAACTGTATTATCTCTCTGGAAACAGAAGCCCGGTTACATTACCTGAGCCAATGTTATACACAGCTCAGATTCTCAGTTGTTCTAGTCCTCATAGCCAAGAGACATTTTCAAATTATTTAATTGACAGGCTGGCTCCAGAAACAGTTGTAATTATAGTCATGCCATTCACAAGACACTGGCTTGATGAAATCAGAAGTACTACAGAAGTAGACATTATTATAATTATTCAGACAAGTATTCATTAGTATTAATGAGAATAGCTAGTATTTACTGAGCATCTACTATGTCCTAGGTGATCCTCTAAGAGCTTCTGCTAGAATATCTTATTTTTCTTCACAGAAATTCTATGGGGTCAGCAATATTTTTATGCACATTTCACAAATCAGAAAGCTGAGGCAAGGAGTGATTCAACAAATTGAATAAGGCCGTACAACTAGTTAGCGACAAAGTCAACTTGTTCAACTCAGGCAGTTCTGCTACTTTGAGCCATCTTTCTACATGGATGATCTCTATGCCAGCAAAGCCCATCAGCAAGAAAGTAGAAGTAAAGTCACTGATCCAGAAAGGATAATGAGTAGCTACTTGTAGATCACTACAACCAGAAACTTTAATAACATTTTCATTTATCTGATGTAAATAACTAAACTCACATTAACCACTTTTTTTGTGTCTTACTTTCTAGAAAAGAATTTTTAATACTCTTATTATAGACCTAATTCTTTATCATGTAGCCAAAACCCCATATGCAGGAATCTTGCATTCACAGGAAACATTCCATGAGGTTCCCTATGAGGAAACATTTTATATTTACCTGGATATCCTGTGTACCTCCCTTATCTACACTTAAGACACAGCCAGGAACCAGGAAATAAAGAGAAAACCCCACTGACTCACAGAAGGGATTG